GCACTTTTAACATAAATTAGGCCTCAAGATTATTAGCTTTTTTAGGGTACTGAAGAGACGAGAAACATGTTACAGATAAGCAATTGAACCACCAAGAGGAATGATCCTCCTTTTCTGCTGATACAAAGGGAGTATGCCCACCGTGAGCATGGACTCCAAGAGAGAGGATCCGAATTAAATCCCAAGCACTATGTGTGGCTGACAGTGCCAGAAATGAAACCTGGTCACGCTAAGGGCAGATCTTCCCCCTCAGGTTTCCTTCTCCTCCCTGAAGCAGTTCCATTCCACCCAGCACAGCAGATTTCCCCTTGCAAAAATTTTAAGCACTGCTTCCCACCTCCATCCTGATATAACTCAGTCCTCCAAAGCTCATTTTTTGCTGTCAGCTCCTGAATAAATTGTCATCCAGGAAAACCAAGGTCTACACCCAAATCTACGCCATCCTTTTGAGAGGCAAACCCCCATTGCTCTCCCTCTTCCTTACTACTATCTCACTCCCATGAGCATCCTTATGCTTCAATGGTTTAGCTGTCACATAAAAAGCCAGGGCAGTTCTGGCTCCACGGGTTTTTCTCTAAGCTGCACCAAATCCAGTGCCAAGCAGGAGAGCTGAGAGCAGCAGAGCACACAGCTAACACGCAGGCAGGCACCCTTGGCAAACCAGACACCTTAAGGCTTAACCACAAACTAGGAGCTGCATCAGGCTGGTATATCAAGGCGCACTGCCTGCTGTACGGCAATAGCTTACGATACCATCATCCGTTTGGCTCTGCTCAGCTCTTACTCCCCCCAGCCTGAATGATCCAGAATCTAATTAAACTCTATGATCCAGGATCTTATTAAACTCTCTGGAAACAATCAAAAAATGCCAGAATCCTGAACTCCGGCTTTTTAATTTTGGTGTTGAACTACTTTAACCCCTCTGCTGCCAAACCATAACAGGGTTAAAATTCGTTGGTTTAAAATTAAACCACTTGACAGAAGCCAGGATGGACTTTTAAACCATTAAGCAAACACTTTCCCACTTCAAACAGGAGGCAGCTTGAATCCAGGGTGCTTGTTCCGTCTTCAGCACGCTCTGGCTCACAGGCAGCTGGTCCCACGCACTGTATTTACCTTGACAAGGCAAAACGCTCTCACGGGCTCGCTGGTCTGAGATGAACAAATGCACACCGCATGGAAAAGGCCAGTGGGCAAAGCCCAAGCCAGCTCGCTTCCCACCGGCTGCCCGATGGACAGCCCAAGCAGCTCCGTTAGGAGCCTCGTGCCGATCTGCCAGTCGCAAAGACGCGAGCCCGGGGCGGTAGGTGAGCCAAGCACTGTTTACTCTGCAAAGCCCAGCTGTTAAACCTATGACTACGCCCATTACAAAATTATTTTTTCCCCCTCTACGGGGCTGAAGTTTGACGTTGTTCACACACAGCAAGCAGAGGCAAGGGATACTGCTGCCATGGTTTGTCATATTAAAAAGTAAATACAGCCAATTTCTCTCCCAAACGCTCTTC